TTACTACTACTACTATATATATATATATATATATATATATATCTTTTCCCAGGAGTGCTTCGTACGGGCCATCCTTCCCTTCCCTTCCGCTTCTGACTCTCTCCCTCTCTAGAGGGAAAGAGAGAGGAGGTTGAGGAGGGAAGGCGGGGAGGGGGAGGGGGAGGTGGAGCACTCCGCAGTATTCACACATCGACCAGATTTTTCTCTTCTTATAAATCCTTCTTTTGCTTGTCTGTTTCTTTGCTAGCGCTGCATCTGGGACTGTCATATTCATTCATAAACGCACGGTTGTTGCTGCTGGGGAGGTGCAACAGCAACCAACAGCGGGAAAAGAAAGTCATATTTAAAGTAAGAATCATTGAGATGAGCGGCACGCGGTGGGAAGTCCGTTCTCATGCAAGCTGAGATGGCAATTTGCCCCATCGTAAACGGCAGGAAAAGAATCGCTAGCGCCTCTCCTCTTCCGCTTCTTTTGACGATGAGGCTTGGTTCCGTCATCCCCTTTCGCGTTTGTTTTCCCGCCATCGAGCAACTGCGTGTGTGTGTGGCGAGGGGGGGGGGTCGGCTTCCAGATCAGCGTCCCCACCTCAAAAACAAACAACAATAATAAACCTCCTCTCGTGTCTGCCAGACGTTCTCGCCTCCTCCTCTTTCTCGCCCTGTACCTTCCTCCACCGTCTCAACGGCGCGTAGAAGAAAGATCCCTCTCTTCCCTCCACGTCGTCTGCACAGTGAAAAAAAAAAAGGCAAATAATCGGTGTTTTAATCAACTACAGAAAGAGCGGAGAGCACGCGCGATAACGCTGCACAGCACACAACGCAGCGGTCGTGACCTCGCGCTCGCTCATCCCCGGTCGATTCACTCCGGCGGTACTCCTCTTGCGGCATCTTCGTCATAATCACACGTAGAGAAGCTCTCCCGACGCATAGATATACAAATCCCTCCCCTGCATCGTACCTTCCTCCCCTCCATCCGCACGGTTTTGATCTGTTGCTGTTTTTCATGCTTCCGTAGAACAGGCGCGTCGCGTGTGGTGTGGCGCGCTCAACGCATCCACAAAATCAGCGTATAAACAATAACCCATAGAGAGAGGGAGAACGAGACATCAGCGGGTGTGGGTGTGTTTTTTTGTTCTTTGCCCCAATGAGTCAGCCACGTGACGGCAGCGCCAACGCAACTACGGCGGCTCCGTGGCTGACGGACAACGGGCTGTGGTCACCGACCAGCCCTTCGACTTCATCGACCGCCCCCACTCCTGCGTGCCCCACCGCCGAAGGAGCAGCGCAGGCAATGCGTGTAGCTGCAGACGCCAGTTTCACGAGTGATAATGGAGGAAGCCGTACTGCTCAAGGCAACGCTCTACAAGGCGGAGAAGGCGACGATGTCCCTGCGCTGCTGACGATGACGATGTCGCACAAGGAAGAAAGTGCGGCACGTGGCGGAGAAACGCTACCACGTGCCAACTCTAGATCCAGTGACACGCAGACACCATCACCACCGCTGGTCGAAGAGGCCTCACCTCATACGGAGATGACAATGACCAGCGGGGCAGAGCACCTGCGCCCCAACGCCACACGTCATTCGACGCGTGCGGCTGCATCTGCCTCTCCTACCGTGGAGAGTGCGCCGCGGGTGAACGCGCACACTTCGGCGGCTGCTGCTGATGATGATGATAAGGCAGAAAACAGAAGGAAGAGTCCGCACTCGCAGTCGGTTGTGGGGGCACAAGCAGAGAATCACGACGGCAGCGTCAAGACGAGTCCTGCGGCAGCACAACATTCGCAGCAGCAGCAGCAGGCCTCTGCATCGTCTTCGCCATCGCAGCAGGGTTGGATTGAAACAGCAAGAGCGTCTCGGCACGACACGGAGGCGTCGACTTGCTGCAATGGGGAGGCATCAAAAGCAGCGCACCGCGGCAATGATGATGATGATGGCGGTGTAGGCAAGCAGGAACGCGACCTATCGAACCTGGAAGCGGCTGGTCGGCACACCGCTGAAGTGGACAGCCAAGGGCCACAGCGACCACGCGCACGCCTGTCACAGCTACATGCACGGCGGGCAGGTGAAAAGGGGGAGTCCGCTGTGCACGCTCCCTCAGCTTCCGCATCTTCTTCTTCGTCTTGGGGTGGGTCCGCGACTGCCAAGCCACCTTCCCCGCAAAGTCGAGCGGCGACCGCGACGGCCACCACCGCATCTGCGGAGCCGTCGACGATGGCGGCGGCAACGGAGGGACTGGCGTGGGTGTCCTGCGGCCACAGCGATCCCCCGGCGCGCTATCGGGATACCCCTGCGTACTACTGCACGTACTGCTCCTACACGGTATGCGCAGCGTGCTTTGCTAGCATCCCGGCACCTCTGGAGGCTGCCCAGCAGCGACAACAAATGGGAGAGACAGCAGCATTTATTCCACGACAACGGCGTCAACGCCGCGACGCGGAAGCCGACACGCGCGCCGGAAACGGAGGCGGCCCAGGCGCTAGCGATGTCCTCACCCCAACGAAACAGCGAGCAGAACAGGCGGACGAGGCAGCACCGGAGGACAACACCTGTCGTGTGCCCGGCAGTATGAACTGGTTGGACGACGTGCTGCGGTTACCCCCCATCACCGTACCCCGCAGGCGTGAGGGTGAAAGCGTGCGCACAACCGGCGCTACGACAGCAACGACAGCAGCGTCACACGCAGGACACGTTCCACCCTCCCACACCCACCGCCGCTTGTCTACCTCCTCCGCCCCACTACCACCGCCGCTTTCCTCGTCGACGACGGCGACCACCGCCACCACGCACATCACGTCCTCCGGGTTGAACAGCGACGTCCCCCGCGGCGATCCCCAGCGCAGTCTTCACAGTCCGCGGATGCTGTGCCACCTGTGCCGGCGTGGACACCTCGTCCGTGAGGAGGCCCTGCTGCACGAATGGGCCTGCGAGGGCCCTGCGCCGGCCGACCGCCTCCACCGCGGTCACGCGCTGCTCTACGACACCGACAACCTACAGAAGTACTACTTTATGCGGGCACAACGCGAGGCCCGGCTGACGTCCACGGCCCCGCTGCACGCGCAGGTGCTGTCCGTCAGCCCCGCCGTCCTGCAGTCTGATGCAAACACTGGCACAGAAACTGATGATCATGATCATGTTCATCAGCAGCAACAGCAGCAGCAGGGAACGAGCAGCGCACCGCCGCTGCCGCTCCGTCAAACACGCGTGCGGGCCGGTGCCTCACGCACGAAACCGACGCCGACGCCGTCCGCCACAGCGGCAGCACGAGCGGCCGTCGTGTCGGCTGTCGGGCCTCGCGACGGGCTTCCATCTCGCTCAACTCGTCGCACCGCGGCAGCTCAGGCAATCGCACCTAACGCCACTGCGGAAGGTGGTAGGAGTCGTCATCTCCGTGACAACGGCAGCATCACGTCTGCCGCGTCTGTTGCCTCGTCATCGTTGGGGAGGTACGCCTGTGAAGAAGGAGGGAGCTTCGTATTTGCCGTGCGCAACCCCCGCCTAGCGGTGCCGCTGGTGTGGTGCGCCGTGAATGGGGAGCCGCGTGAGGAGTCACCGGCGTACGCGCGGTCGACGGCTGCCGCTGCGGGGGCGGCACTTGCGCCAGCGAACCACCACACCCCGCTGTCGAGCCTCTCTTCCTGTGCATCTTCGTGCTTGTCATCGATTACACCGCTGCTGGTGTGGTCCTGCCCGCCTTCGCTGCCGGGGCTTCCCGCCCGTTCGTACCGCGTCGGGGTGCCGTATGGGCTCTACGCCTTTGCGAACGTCCACGCCCTCGCCCTCTACGCCGCAGGCGATATCTTTCGCAAAGCCACCGCGCAGCTTGTTGATGCGGCACTAACTAGCAGCCACCTTCACAGCAGCGGGGCAGCGGAGGGGCTGGTCGGCGCTTCAGCGGCGTTATTGCTGGCGGGTTTAGGCGGACCGGCGCCGCATCTCGCGTCGGCCACCGTCGCACCGGCCGCCTCGCTCCGACCGCTGCTGACCGTGACGGTGCTGCACCGTGTCGCCACTACGCCCCGACCCCTGCTCTTCACGTCGCGGCTTTTGTGTTCTACGGCGGTTGCAGCGGTGGCGACAGAGAAGGACGGCGAGACAGGTCGGGCGAGGAAACGACCGCGGACGCCGGACACGGCCGGCGGTGTACACATAACAAAAGTGGAGGATGCGCCGGGTGTAGCGCGGCCGCGGTTTGCGACGCAGCCTGCCGCAGCGCCTCCGCCCGGCGGAGAGGGGGAGGAAGTGGAAGTGGAGGTGGGAGAAGAGGCGGAGAAGGGTGACCCCGTCCAAGCTGAATCTCAGCTGCAGTGGCCAGACGGCCTCTCCTCCCCCGAGCTGGCCTTGGTTGTGGATCACCTCCTGCACGGTCGCTCCGTCGCCGTGTACGGCATTGCCTCGAAGTTTTTCTTCCTCCAGCACGTTTCGAGCAGCGCGGAGCTGGCATCCTTCCATGTTCTGACGGTGGACGCGAGCCTGGGTCGCGCTAGTGTGCCGCGTCAGTCCGGTGCGAGCGGCATCAACCACAGCAGCAGTGGTGGAGCTAATGGAGGAAGTGTGAACGGCGGGCTGCGCCAAGGCTTTCAGCCCAACAGCGGAGCAGCAGGCTTCTCCTCAGCATCGTCTTCGGTGATGCGCCAGTTGCTCTCGGTCGGTCACGCACTCGTGCGTCGCGTGTCGTCGTCGTCGACGGTGCTGACCGCCGAAATGCGAGCCGAAATGACGGCGACGGCGGCGACGGCGGCAGCGGCAGCGGAGCGACACGCAGCACAGACCACACGCGAGGAAACGCAGAGCGGAAAGAACAGGAAAAGGAGAGCAGGGGCGCCACACCACACCAGCTTTTCCCTTGACGGCGGCTCTGGCGCGGAGGACGGTGTGGGGGGAGGAAAGGCAGATTGGCGGGGTGGCGGCGCCGCAGCTGCGCGAGGGCCTGTGGCACGCGCGCTGTTGGACAGTGATGCAGGTCGCTCGCCCGCGATGGCGCGGGACGTGACGGGGGCTGTCCTGCACGCCGCATCCTCCGCCACGTCTGCGCAGCCGCAGCAGCACGGTCGGGTAATTGCTGTGGAGGTGGTAAGTGTGGATTCCTCCGCCGCCGCATCCACTACAGCCGCTTCATCGGTTTGCTCGACTTCCGAGGAGGACGAGGCAGACAACGGGGCAAAACGCTGTAGCGGCGGTGTTACCCCAGCGAGGGGCACCGTGCGCGAAGTCCTCCCGTTAAGCCTGCGGACACCGCCCAGCGCCACGCATTACGGGTCCTCGCCGGTTGACAAGCGATCCCCACACGCGCACCCGCTCTTCGGCGGCACACCACTCTCTCAGCGGATGTCAGCGGATCCAAGCGGCGGCTGGAGTGGACGTCGCGGCACAACGCAGCTGGGGCCGTCCTCGCAGACTAGCGCCTTCTCCGCCACCTCCCCTCCGGCGATGTCGCCCATTCCCGCCTTCTTCGCGGCGTTGCAGCGCACTATAAACGGAGACTGCAGCCACAGCAATAGAGACGAAGACCCGCACGAACCGCCAGGCGAGAACACCGCCGGTCACGAGGTAACGTGCGAGGAGCTGCCTGAGTTTTTCGGAGGGCTGAACTGTCTTCGGCTCCCACCTCGTGATCATGACGCGACGCAGAACACGAAAGGCAACCTTTCCGGGAACAAACGACCGTCCGCAACAACAGGAGGAGGAGTAGCTGCGGAGATGAGTTGGCGGCCGCCGGTGGTGGCGTACGCGAACGACGCGGTGCGAAAGCACGTTCTGCAGGCACTGCGGCGACAGCACTGTGGGCGTCGGTGTGTACAGTGGGCCTCCCTGCCTTCGACGTCAGCGGCGACGCAGCTGGATGAGCAGTATCGATCAGTAGAAGACAAAAACGGTGTGGTATCTTCCTCTCCGTCATTCCCACACACGCTGCTCACGCGTGCCCACCAGACACGACCTGGTTGGCTGCCGCCCGTCCTCCTCGTGCTCCACAACGTGGATTTGCTCGACAGCGACGAGGTCAGCGTGCTCCTGCGGCTCTGTACGCAGTTTGCTTTCCCGCAGCCGCACCTGCAGCTTTTAGTTTCGTTTGACGACCCGCTCTGGCCGTTGGGCTCCGCCGCGGCGGCCCTGGAGCGACTCGGCGTGTGTACGGTGCAGCTGCGCTCGCTGCTGCTGCCGCGGGTACACGAGATGCGCCACACGAACAGCATTCACGTACTAACCGAGTTCGAGGCCGCCGCCGGCGGTGGTAGTGGTGGTGGTGGTGGTCGCGGAGGCGCGAAGGGCGTGTTTCGAAGCTCCTCGTCTGCGGGATCAGCTGCCACCACCGCTTCAGCAACAGCAGCATCAGCAGCGGCTACGGTAGGGAACTCCTATCTGCTGCAGGACACGATGCGCCGCGTGCTCTTTAGTCTGCCGCCTGCCTTCAACAGTCTTCTACGGATTTTGTTGGACGTGCAAGACGAAGTTGGCGAGGGCGTGTTTGTCTCTCTCTTCACCGTGACGGAGCGCTTTGAGAGGAGCGGCGTGATGGTCTCGCAAGGACGGCTGAAGGCGCTGCTGCGGGAGCTCACCTCCAATCGAATCGCCCGCTACGACTCGGCCGAACACGCGCTGATGGTGCCGCAGGTGGGTCGACTGCGGAAAGTGCTGAACGAAGTAACGGCACAGCGTGACGGCGGGGGAGGCGGCAGTGCGGCTTTGTAGGCGGGGCGGGACGGGGAGGAGAGGGGAGGTCGCTGCAACCGCAGCGGATGGATCTCTCGTTCTCTTGCGTGTAGGTGTTTATTACTGGGCGGTTGCCATTGTGAAGTATGGAAGCGATGCTTCCTCGCGTTATCGAAAGAAGGCATCGTGCTAAGGAGGAGGAAGCGACAAGCAGCGCCAGACTATGTAACAGTTAAAAAAAGAAAAAGCCCGCTTCCATGCATTTCAAGTCTTCTATGGCCTGTCCATTCCTGCCGCGTGTTGTGTATCCAAGTGCTGTCTGCTCTAAACCATCTTTTTAAGAAAGCATGGTGTTTCTTTTCATGTTTGGGGGGGAGGTTTTTTGCCGGAGACGACGCGGCGCATCTCGCAGTTCGTCCTTGCCCTCCGGCCCTCCCTCCGTTCCTCTGGTGTTTTCCCGTTTCGAAAAACGACGCCTGATCACTCGTTCCCGGCTTCTCTTTCTTCTCTCCTCTATACATATACATATACATATATATATTGTTATCGTATGATAATACTAATACTAATAAAAAAATGAATAACACGCGCACGCGTGAAAGGTGCGAATTACTTCCGCGAGAACGCGAATACACCGTCGCTTTTCTTGTTTTCCTCCCTTTTCTTTTCTCGCTTTGTTATTGTTTTTTCTCCTTCGGCTCATCCCCCCTCTGACGTCTATACACGCGTCTCTCTTCGTTGGACCCTTGCCGTGCCCCCTGCCTTGCCCGACACGTACCGATCTGACTCTTGCTTAGCATCACTGCTATTAATTGTAATCATTAGTTTCTACTTAGAAGCGTTAGGTGACACAGAGAGACAGAGAGAGAGATTTAATCATTACCATACAAGCACATTCCCCCTTCCCCTTATTATTAGTTCTTCTTCATTCTTTGTTGCTACTCTCTATCATTCGCTTCGACTAGCGCTTTTATATATATAAACTTGTATTCGGTGTTGATATCGTCTGACTCTTCTCGGGCACTTGCACACCATAGCACCGCTTTGCTTGATCGCTGTGACCAAAGGACGCTCTCTTTGTGTTTTTGTTTTTTTCTTCAGGACCGTCTTGAGTGAGTGCGTGTGTGCGTGTGTGTGTGTATGTGTGAAGGTGCCTTCACCGCTGGTATCCACTCTCCACTCTCCACCCCCACCTCTTGACGTTGTAGGTGAACATTGTCATCCCCCACCGACTCAATCTCAACCCTTTTTTTCTCTTGTGCGGAACTCCCATCGTGCCAAGTTACGACTCACCATTTCACTTTTCATGGTTTTTGTTTTCCCCTCCCTTGTTTCTTCTTCTTCTGCGTATTGGTAGTATAGATTGTCTCTCTAACTTCTCTTCTTCTTCTTTTTATTTTTGTAGTTTACATCAGCGCTTTTCTGTCGTTGTTGTTTCGATTTTTCCTCTGTGTTTTTATCTGTTTTCTATGGATTTTGTAGGCGAACTGTTTCCCCCCGCCTCCGCCGATCTTCTTCTTCTTCTCCCTTCTTCTTTTTTTCATGGTTCGTTTCCTCCGCTAGTGATCCACCGGTCCTCTGTTTGTTGTTTGTTTGCTCTTCTTCTCTTCTGCTTTGCCTCGCGTTTCTCTCTTCTCTTCTCTTCTCCTTTCACCTCCACCCGCCTCCCCCCCCCCCTTGTGATTCCGGGCAGCTCTGCCGGCCACGCCGCTTCTTCCTCACCCCGAGATTCTTTTCCCATTCGGGTTGACGTCTACCCTCGAGTACCTCTCCGTTGCGCGCTCCTCCACTCTTTGCAATTCCTTTTCTTGTTCTTCTTTTTCTTCCTTGTTCTCCTCTTTAAAGCTTCCCTGTTGCGTACATACTGGATAGACGATAGAGCAGCAACACAAAGGTGAGAAAAATATATATATTAAAAAAACGAAGAGAGTGGCGTTCTCGGTTTTTATTAAGCGTTGCCGTTTGTTTGTGTTTTCGCTGGTTCAAAGTCTGCTGCACAACTGACGCGTGCTGCACCGCCGTTTTCGCGCCTTCACCACGCTTTCCAGTTCGTGTGTGTTTTATAACTCTTATTATTATTACTACTGCTTTTGTTGTTCTTCACAGAATTTTCCCCCGCGTGTATCTTTGAGTTGGAGTTTGTTTGTCTGTGTGTGCGCGCGCTTTTTACCTTCTTTTTTCTTCTCTTATTACCTCGATTCTGCTGGATTCTCTTTTCTGATTTGTTTTTGTTTGCTGATTCGGTTGTGCATTCCCTGCAGTATTTAGTGTTTCAACTACTACTATTACTATTATTATGTAATTTCGCTTTCTTCCAGTTTTTGCTCCTCCTAGAAAAATAAAAATACAGCGGCTGTGTCCTGCTTTACTTATTTATTCATTTCAGCTGCCGTTTTTCTGCTTCTCACTGCTTCTCCGCTTTGTTGATCACGCCCCTGGGGAGAGAATTTGTTGATATATTTTTATAATTCATTAGTACCTAACATAGTTTCTCTTTATCCTTTTTCCCCACCGATCTTGTTATTTCCTTTCTTTGTCTGTCTCGATCTTCTTTGCAAAAGACCTCGCCCTGTATACACCAGCGGCTCTTCTCGTTCGGCGTCACCTCCCTCCCTTCTCCTCTTTCAGGATATAGTGAGCTTTAAACTAGGGTGCACAACTCGCGCACGCAGCACGAACATCGCCGTCGTTGACCCCTCAGCGCATTCCGTGGCGCCGCCACCGCCTTTGTGCACGCTTCGAAGTGCAAGCGAGGAGGGTGAAAAATAAAAAGAAAGACAGCGAAAGAGAGAAGTTAAAAAACCGTTTTTTGGAAAGGGAAAAAACGGCACGTTCTGATAATGCCCGGCGTGGATTTGCTCGACGCGTTCGCGGAGTTGGTGGTGTGCGTCGTCTTCAACCTCCCACGCGATGAGCCGAAGCCTCACGGCGACAGCGACGGCGACGAGGACAGCCCCGCTGCTGCGAACAGCAGCGGCACGACGCAGATCTTCTCGCGGGAAAACTCGCTCGACGAGTGCCACTCGCAAGCCCCGCTGCAGATCTCGCCCAACACGTGTGAGCTGGCCGGGTTTGCGGCCTTGCACACCACCACCACCCTCCCTGCCCCGGCCCCGGTGCTGCATGAGGCGAGCAGCACGCAGTCGCTCGACCTTTATGCGGGGGGGATGTGGACCCCGGCGGTGCGGGTGCCGCAGCTACAGCACAACCTCTCCCCCGCCGCAGCCATGCATCGCTCCTCGCACCCCAGTAGCGTCGCCTCGCTGAACACGGGCGACATCTTTTCGCTGGGCAGCAGCACGAGTGTCCCGAGCCCCGACCGCGGCGCCGGATTTTGGAGCCGGCTGCTTGGCAGCGGCAGCTTCCTGCACACCCCGCCGCACACCACCGCCGCTTCCTCCGCGGGTAGTGGGCCGATCCCCCACACCGGCGTCACCACGAACGCGTCCAGCTACGTGCAGCTGACGGAGGAGGACCTGGGTATGCTGAACGCGAGCGGGCGAGCCGGGGCGGCGTCTGGCTGGACGAGCTTCTCCGCCCCGTCGTCGTCCGTTGCGCAGGGCGGCTCCGCGCAGCAGCTGGACTGGAACGGCGGGGACAGCCGCGGTGCTCCGACGCCCTCGAACATGTCTACCTCGTTATACGAAGCCTCGCCCGCCGCACCCTCCACGCCACCGCTGCCGCCTCTTCCCCCGCATTCTCCGCCGCCGCCGCCGCCGCAGCAGCAGCAGCAGCAGCAAAGCCCATTGAGGCTGAACTCGCACGACATCTACGTCGCAGCTCCCCGCACGTTCTCTCCGCAAGGAGGTCGGTCGCAGGCGAGCTCGTCGAGCGACTTTATCGTCCTATGAGACTCCCAGCCACAACCGCCACAACAGCATCAACACGGCGAACTTCATGTGGTTGTGGTGGTTGTGTTTTATCATTTCGCAGGTGGGGACGGCGCAGTGCTTTCGATGGTTTCAAGCACGATACGGTTGTTTTTCCCCTGTTTCTCCCACACCTGTTGATGCGGCGCTCCGTTGCGTGTGTGTGTGTGTGTGTGTGAACCGAAGCCACGCGAAATTGTCGCCCTGGTATTTCATTGTTAATACCTATCATTATTATTATTATTATTATTATTTGGAGGATTCTCAGCAAGTGAAGCATCCGCATATGCAGTTGCGTGCGTGT